AACTGACTTTATGAAGAATACAAAATTTAAATGACAACTGCTGCTTTATAGACAGAAAATGTGGAATTGAAATGTGTGAAATTACTGAAGGAACAGAGCTGGATACACTGCTGAGCAAGGGGAATGGGAATGGTGGTAGTGAGTTAATTTGTATGCTCTGCTGCAAAACTTGCATTCAGCACTTAGGATATGAGACCAAGACAGCATGATGGCATACTGACAATCCAAAGAAACTGAAGCAGCTGCAAAGGGAGTATTGAAAGAGAAGCAATTTGTGGATCAGACCATTTGGCTCACCAGAGGACAATTCAGTCATTGAAAAGGGCATTGCAGAGAAACAGCGTATGGTTCCACTTCTCAGCACAGGTTTTGGAGACAGAGATGGTCCCAGGACCTTTAGGTCTGGCACTCCTGGATTCCCAAAAGGCATACCTGTTCTCTTTGCATATGGCCTTGCAAAAGGAGTTGAAACAGGTTACACTTCCCACAGCCCAGATGGCTCTCATTATCAAAGTAGCCCCAAACCCAGATGTGGATGTGCATAAGCAAAGGGAGAATTCAATCCACAGCTGACTGAACCTCAGAACAAGTCAAAGTTAAATGATAGTGCTGGATGGTGGGGCTTCTACAAACCCCACAAGTGCTGCTGAAAGGTTTTAAGTTTATTTCTGGGGCATCCATCACTCCATCCAATTATGCAGTTTTATCAGCAGCATCAAAAGGAGCTCCAGCTACAGAAGAGAGCTTGCAGCACTAGTTTTGAAGGAGTCTGAAAGCAGTACTGGCTCCCAAATTGTTGGATGATTGTTTTATCTGGATAACGGAAAGCTGAGGAAGGACTAGGGCAGTATTTATCCAGGAAGCATGCACTAGGTATGTGACATGGGTTTTGTGTGGGAAAGAGTGAGGAGGCAGTTTTTTGAGGACCAAGAATTTGCAGTGATGCATGGATTGAACTGGCTGAGTGGGCACCTACCTGACACAGAAATGCCTAAATGCAAACACGAGTTCATCTGGGTCAGAAACTTGCAGTGCTGATGAGAGAGTTAAGATTATAGCATTCCCTGATGCTAGCACACTCAAGGAATTGACACATCATGACTTACAAACATTTTCCCTGACAAGCAGATACTCTTGGATGTAGTCAGGCTCTTTGCTCTCCCTGTGCTGCTCTTCTGCTTTAGAATTCTTTTTGATTTCCAGTGTCAATGCATTCATATGGTTTATACTTCTATTTGTACTCACACTATGCTTCAGTTTAGCACAGTTCAGAATGGCTTTTAGTTTGCACTGAATGGAGATAAAAACACACAGGGTAAATCCTGCTATAATAGGAAAGGCAGCTTTGATACTGTCCTGTTGCTTCCTGACAACTGCTTGGACCTTTGAGGACCATGTGGTGTAACAGACCTCACCCACACTACCTCCCCTCTTGTAATAAACCCATTACCTTTCCTTGGTCTACGTTTTCATGGAACCACAGAATCAATTCAGTTGGAAAAGACCTCTGGGATCATCAAGTCCAACTTCTGACTAAACACCACCAGGTCACTTAGACCATGGCACTAAGTCTTTCCTTAAATACCTCCAGGGATGCCTATTCCAATGTTTGATCACTCCATTACCTCCCCGAACAGCCAATTTCAATATTTAATCACCCTTTCTGTGAAGAAATTCTTCCGAATATCCATTCTGAACATTTTGTGTAAGGCAGCTTGAATACACTGAAATGTTCTGTACTTTTTTCTCGCCTCTTATGTTTGCACTCATCCATGTGTCTAATCCCAATGCTTCTCGATTTAGGCTAGTGCATATTAGTTGCTTGCTTGTTTTTGTGGTTTTGGTGTGGGTTTTTTTTTTTTTGGTTGTTGTTTTTGGGTTTTTGTTTTTGTTTTTTTTTTAAGAAAGGACATCAATGGGCTTTTTTCTCTTTTTCTTCTGCTATTCAGCAATCCTGAAATAAATAATCCCTCCTACTTGTAGCAGGTCCAGGTATTCATGGGAATATTCAGTAGAGTATCTTCTCTGACTAGTCTCATGAAAATCTTTTATCTTATCAAAGATACATTAGTTTAGTCCAAGAGACATTGTGATAAACTGCTGCACTAGGGGTTTTTGTCCTGGATATTTTTGTATCTTTTTTAAAATGTTAAAATAAGTTCTGGACATGATTAAGAAATGTTTAAAATCTGACTGCGAACATAAACTGTAACTTCAATATGAATACATATTTTATGGCATGCATACAAACCAGGATTACGTAAATATGTCAAGTCTTTTTAGGGATGTTAATAGCATATAATGGATTTTTACAATTTAGATTTTTTTTTATACTCAGTATTTTTTCAGTAGGTTTTAGCTCCAGACCTAGCCTGTGGCTCATAATGCCTACAAGCCAAAAGGAATAGGCTGGCAGGAATCAAGAAGACTGGGTGTCAGACCTGGTTACAGCAAAATGTGAAATTCAGAGATAGCAAACTGAGAAAGGTAACACAGATACCAGGGAGAAAACAAATTAAAAGCAGCAATCTGCTAGTGTAATTTTTGAATGTAGCTATTTGAAGATATGTGCATGAGCTAATATGCAAATATTAATACAGTGAGAAATCAAGTGGGATGTCAACCATATGCCACCATATAAGAGGAGCCCAAAAGAACTTCCCAACCAAGCTTATTTCTGATTTTCCACACAGCTGAAATTAGAGAATTTGATGTGTTTATCTGTAATTGAGTAAATTTATATGCAGCTATTGATAAACATTTAGAATCTGAGTAAGAAATTTTGGTGTTAATATATCTGTCCATCTAACAGGACAAATCTGCAGCATAAAAATCTTGACACGATGTCATGTACACCATCAGTTCAAAAATAGGAAAACCTCAGTGTTCAGTTTAAGAAAAAAAATCTACAATTACTATTGCAAATGACAACACAATAAATATGTCACTAAAGCAAACAGTTGCTACTGTATACAATTATGAGTTATTTTCCCCAATTTCTCCACTTATTCTGATGATGCATATAAAGATGGAAGGAGTTCATAGGTCAACATTTCTTCTAAAAATTGCTGCAGTACATTCACAGAATGAGCTCCCTTAGTATCAAACCATCAGGAGTGCAATTTCACATTCAAGAAACCACCGAATTTTTGTTTTAGTGGGAAAAAAAACCAACCTGTTCTATCATGAAACATGAGAGGTCAAATGATCCATTTGAATTATGATTTATCAGAGTAGTTTGCTCCTGTCAATTACACTTCCATGCTAATGCAGAGCATGTGGGTAATCACCAGATTTTAGAAACATATTCCAGCACTGTAACATTTTAAATAGCCATACACATAGCATGTATACATGCACCAATGCATGCTTAAAGGTGCATTTGAACTCTTCAGAGAACCCTTCACACACTCTGAGCTGCTGCCTGTTGAATTACTTACAGGGATTTCCTCAACTATAACAAGTTATTGGAACCAATATTTTATAGTTATCTAGCTCCTGACTTTAAAATGTCTGTGGGATACTAAATTGGTTTGGGTTTATTGTAAACCAGTGTTTTAAAAAGACATAGCATAGCTTGTTCATTAATGGTCCCTACCATTTCTAGTCAACTTCAATGATAAATGAGAAATGGAGACTCAGAGATCAGAGGTACTTTAGAAATACTGGACTATTTGGAAAAGTAATTACTTCTTCCACAATTTCTAATTTCAGAAAAGGTATATCAGCACTGCCTTAAGTGGCTCTTGTAGCACATGGGGTATTTAATTTCTTTAAAATAAAAACTAGAATCTCAATAAAAAATTAAAAGAATTTTTTTAAAGTAAAAGCAAGTTTTAAAATGTATTTGTAAAAAGAACCTTGCATGCCTCACTCAGTGTTCAATCACTTCAGCGAGAACATTAGAAAATTATTATTCCAACGTAAATGTGAAATACCAACCTGAAAATACCAAAGATAAACACTAAAACTAATGAATTTTAACATTCTTTAAATGTTATATTTGAAACATAAGTAATCTGATGAAAATTACATTTACTTTGATAATATCGAATCAGAAGTTTTATGTTGGCTAAAATCACCTGCACTAAATTATGCTAGACAGTCTGTTCCAAATTCCAGATGGGACTACAAGAGGCAACTTCACTGTCAAATAAGTTGATGGTCTCTAATACAAGGGCATGCATGGCTACATAGAACTCAGGCCAAATATATGGAAACTACATTTAGTTATGACTCATACCATAGCCACTATGATGAGATAATTTACACATAAAAACAACAACAAAAAATCTGGCCCAGCCTGGTAGATGTTCTTAGTCTCACATACCCACCTACACCTGGTGGGGCGAAGGGAGGACAGAGGTTGTGACCCAATGGGGGATCTCAACAAAATGAAAGACAAACACATGGCCAGAAATTATGGCAGCCCTTCAATGAAAGTCCTGTGGACTGGAAAGCTGCCAAAAGGTGTCTCTTAGCTATCACTGCTTTGGTGAACTCTGAAAACAGCTTTGCATTACTTTAACTGAGGGGCTAGTCAGAATTGCCCTCAACTACGATGATGGGTGATGACAGGGTGATGACAGTACCAAAAGGAATCTGAACTCTGTGTTTTTGAAACACTGATTTTACTACAGCTACTGTCACTGTTCTTCACACCAGCACTAGGATCAGTGATTTTCACTATTATCAGTATTTCTTACCTTCCCAAGCCTCTAGAACTGCATTATCACACAACTCCTGACAAAGCCATTGGTTCTATCTTCCTGCCCGCCCCCAGAGCTATTTTGACAAGGGGCAGATCAGCTGTGAATAAGGTACATTTCCCCTTACCTGTTTCTGGTGTACAGCAAGCTGCCTCCCATTCTGGTCAAGTTCTTCTCACTCCCAAAAGCTGCCAACAAAACCATTAGACAGCGCATGCATTTGGTAAAAATTAGTTTCCCTTCCATCTAGAAATTATAACTTTGTATCACTAATTAAACAAAAACACTGAATACAGAACATGGAAAGTAAGTGTTACTTCTTTTTAGGTTTGAGAGTCCTCTGCTGTCCTGGCTGATCCTGTGGTAAATCTGCCCATGTTCAATATTAAAATAAAAAGGTGATGTACGCTGATTATTACAGCAGGTAGACTGTCCAGTCCTCGTTTTAATGGTCTCATCTTGATTTCAACCACAGATGTACCCCTGATAGAGGGAATCAGAACCCAGTGCTCACACCTTTGTGACTTATCAGTACATCAGAATGCCAGGGTGGAAATACATACAGATTCTTCATTGCACCAAGTGTACACGTGCAGGCTCTCGACACAAACTTAGCAATGTAAATCCAGCTGTACAGATACAACATACTCCTCTGAAGCCTTATAAAAATACCAGTGCAACATAGAGCCATTTTACAAAACAATCATCTTTATAGAAAGATATTTTAGTGGTATATGCTGAGGTAAATAATAAAACCAGACCCAAGAGAGGGCATGACCAGTGTTAAGGAGAACTCTGGATGAAATTTGGCCAAAAGCCTGTTTTATAAAAGCTAATATTTACCTACCAGTTACGATCCCTGGTAAGGTGCTTATTGCTGTAATACTTCAATATTATTCTTCAGTTTACAAATTGAAAAATATATGAAATTAGATCTGTATGAATGTTAGGTATTAGCTGTCACAAATTTAAAAAGGCATTGTACCAAGTTTTCTTAATTGTTTACTAACCAATTTGATTGTAGCAGCTAAATAAACTACAGCATACATTTCACCTGACACCATGCATCAAAATCACCATAAAAACTAAGTTTATCAAAGTCCAAGTCCACAAGGAAAACATGAAAAAGTGCAAATTATGTACCCAGTATTTCTGTCACAGCTGTTTTTTCTTAATATGGCATGAAAAAGTTTTACAGCATATATTAAGAAAATTCTTACAAGTGCTCACCTCAATGTTTATATATACAACATTTTGCTCAAAGTGCTCACTATATGAAAAAAACTGATCGGATAAAAATATTAAAACAGTGCTTTCTGAACGTTCAGGGAAAATTCATATAATACATCAGTCCCATTTGTTTTCCTCTTCACTCAGTGCAATGAGATGCAGAAGTCACATCAACTTCATGAAAACTTTGCTTGCCACATTGCCAGAAAACCTCAGTTACAGTGGCATTCTTGGTGTCCCATTGGGAGTGGGTCTTTTATTTTTTTGCAGGTGGCTTTGATGTTTTCGAGATCTTACTACTTTCATTCTTACTTCAAATACTTCTTGTATGGCTTTTCGAAAACAATGGAAATTGTAGTCTATTAATCCTACAGAGACAGAAATGTTTTACATATTAATAAAGACATTCATATAAATAAGGTAATGAAAACATTGCTTATATTCTAGTTTAGTGAAATACCATACTCTCTGTCTGGAGGTCATACTCAGTGAACTGTCCAGGAATTTTTTCTGTGCTAAGCAAAAGGACATTTGAGAAATACAAATAATTCAGTAAGCATTACAGCTTGATACAACGTCTGCTCCTATATATACTTGTACATTTTAAGAGAAGTCAAAGTTCATTGGCAGATAACAGATCCTTAATTTAATAAAGGGCTGTGAAGAAGTGCTCAGTATACTAGAAGAAAAACTGAAATCTTTCATAAAATATGGTGCCACTTTGGAAATCTGCTTTACAGAATAACTGCAATAAAAATAAGTACCATCTGTTAATCAAGAAATGTTCATTTTTTGACAATACATAAACTTTGAAATGGATACTTGATAGAACTATTACCAAATCTCAGCCAGCTCTATTTCATCTGACACTGTAATTAAAAAGAAACACAATAGAAATGCTGTTAGATTAGATACTTACATAATAGGCAGATAACATTACCATGTTAGTGGGCTGAATGTAATCCCACAGAAAAGCTGTAAAGCCATATTGGTAGTCAATTGGAAGATTTACTGAGTACTACAATTCTGTAAAACCACAATATAATTTTAAAATTTTGGTACTGAGCTCATGACCTCATTTAGTATTAATACTATAAGCTTTCTTAACTCATATACTGCAGCATTTTCCACTTCAGTTTCCCTGACAGGACATGCATATTTTGAAGTGGTTTAAATTCACCATGTTACACTTTGATTTTTTTCCCCAGATATTGTTTTCTGTCTCCCTATAGTTCAGACAAAATATTAGTTGGAATTCATGAGGCACAAAAAGCTCATCTCCATTATAATACCAGAACCATACTGCAGAAGAGTGAAGGCTACCAAGTGTCCCAACTATGCAGAAACAATAACCTCACACAGTTACAGACAAACCCTAATGGATGTTTATTTAACATGGTGTCTTTCTGAAACAGTGCTGTTAGTAAGTATGCAGAATTAAGACTTTTTATGCTTTTCACAGAAAGCAACTGTATCCAACGTTCATAGGCAATAAAGGTGGTAGGAGTATAGAAGAGACATTTCACCAGTGTAAGTTCTATAAAAAGCTCACAAGGTTGTCAAACAGCCCAGCAGACATGGCACAAGTGCTGTGTTCACAAACACACCAACACTGACTGGTGAAATGACTATCACAAGATGGGGCACACGAGCCCAGATGACAGCTTGCTCTTCCACTGCTGAGTTTTGGTCTCAAGGCATGCTACAAAGACCAGCAACCCAGTGAACATCACAGTAGTGGGCAGAGAGGTCATGAACTAAGGGTTCAGTATTGACTTTGACCACGGTCATAAAGATGACAGAAATTTTATGCATTTTAACTGCAAAATATTAAAGCACTCCTAAACAGGACTAGGTCCTAAATATGCAATTTTTCAAAAGCCTCCTTTCAGATTATAAGCAAGAACATTCTATCAGTCACTTTCAAAATTTTTCCCTTGGTTATGGCAGGCAAGCAGTTCCAAATGTGCATGCTGGTGTCAACAGGTACAAATCAGTGCCAGTCAAGATAAACTAACAGTCTACAGTTGCAGGTGGAAGTTTTACTGCATTGGATGTAAACTTTCAAATGCTTTCATATCAGAAATTTGTCAAATACATTTATGATTTCATCCCATCTTAATGCCTGCACAAGTACTTTCATCCCTTTAAAAATGTTATGTAAGCTTTATCAAGCTGTACTTACCTCAATATTTATGATACAGTTAGAAACTGTTATCAGCTAATGACAACCTCAGTTATTCATTAACTCACTAATATAAGGGAAAATTAATGCAGTACTAGAAAAGGGGAAAATACCTTTTCTCTCAAAGCTCTCTTCTCTGACAAAACAAACAAGAGCGAGGAATTTTGTCACCTCTTTTAAATACAGGACAGTTGTATTATTCAGTTTTATGATTGCCATTGATTCTTTGTCATAAGGAGTTCCAGTGCCATCATCTTTAAGCCTAAAGAGCAGTATTCAAACAAACAAACAAGAAAAGATAAGAAACCAGATTAGCTGATAAAAGTACTGCTACACTGGCTCTCAATCTCAAAATTTATGAAATCTTCATTTTCATCTTTCAGGGAGACTCTTCTTCAAACTACACACTAGTCAACTAAGAAGAAAAAGAGATTAAATTGTTTATCACATCACACACCAACCCTCAGATCTGGGGCTAGAAATCAGATTGTTTGATAGCCAAGTGCCTGAACTGGAAACTTATTTTTTCCTCAGTAATTCACCACCCATTTACTACAAGGCTGCTTTTCTTTTAATCAGTGCTTTATATAATGACTTATCATAAACATGTGAAACAGTAGGTCTGTACTGATAACTCCAAACCCAGTAACCTTGCTTGAGTGGTAGCAGCTGACTGATAGTATAAGACATCATGAGACTTTCCTCATGAGATGTTGGCTTTTGCAACATCATGTTATGAAAAGAGATTTCTCATTCACAGATGCTGTGTCATGATGATCTCTGTATTATGTTTTTGTACATTGTAATATTGTAATTTTATCCTCATTCTGGAATGCACACACAGATATTGTTAAATGGATAGTTATCACCAACCTCCCAGAACAATTAGTCTCAATAATATATTAAAGTGGCAAGTTCCACAGATGCTCCAGGAACAGAGGACAAAAAATTAATTGTAGTATCGTCTTTAGTCTGTAGCTAAAAAATGGCAAGCAGATTTCTGGTGATAAATGCTAAATGGCTACACAAGCACAGTGGCAGAATGATATTTTGTAAATAAAGAGCCCCACAAGTGGTGTTGTATAGATAATTATTCAATGCACACTACAGAGCAGAATCTTTCTCTTTTCAAAAATCAGCATCCTTTATTTTACACCTCTGTAAAACAAGTTCTTATACGGTTACTGAAGCGATGACTCCAAAATCTGAAACACATGGTAGAATATACAAACTTCAGAGATTTTACGTTAAGAATTCAACAGTTTATTGTTCCAGTGCTTATTGCACATGTGCACCAGGACTCTCCCTTGTACCTTCTCCAAGAGTGCAAGAAGTCTGTCAGTGGGTACAAATGCAAAGCTAGCCCAGCCTACCACTCTCTAAGCATGTTGTGCATTGGCCTCCAAGTGCAAGCATCTTAGTGCACTAATTGTTAATGGGTGCCTGCCTTTCCCAGGAATGGCTAGCATTACATTTGGCCAAGGGCCAAGCCACTGAACACATAACTTGCAGGGAGATGTACATGCCAGCCCAGGAGATTTTCACTTGCTAATGTGCAAGAAGGGGAAATTGAAAAAAAACTCAGATGGGTTTGAAAGGTCATGTAGGGAATAGAGGACAAACAGAAAACTGAACTGAGAGTGAAATAACTCGCTGAGGCTCTTAGAGGCCACTGGCTATTAAATAAAACTAAATATGGCCCCACTTCTTTGTAAAACAGGAGGCATCCTTCTGTTGATTTCATCCATAGGGAACAAAAAGGTGATGTTTCCTTTTATTTTATGTTGGTTTCTTCTGACTTCTTCCTCCAAATAAAATTACTAGCATAGAAGGGGGAAGATGCTCACAAAAGAGACTGAACAGGGAACAATTCTTGTTGCTGGGAAGGATCAGTCCCTCAGAAGCCAGCCGTTTTCTCCTCCCCTGTCCTGGCAAATTACCCATTCTCATTATTATTTATACCCACATCACTAGAATTTTGAGGCTATTCAGATTCTCAGTACACATCTTTATGGAAAACATTCACAATTTACTTACCCATATATACAAGAAATGTCAATCACAACATCTATCATATCACAGCAGAGCTCGTAAGTTTGCATATCCACTGGAGTGCTGTCTGTTGCAATATAGATCTTACTGACTACATCAAATAAAAATGCTTTTTCAATCCCAGAATTCTATTCAAGAGAAGAAAAAAAGAAAAATAAAGTGGAATCCATGTTTTCAAATTAACCCCAAGCTTTTCTGTTCCCTTACTTGCCTCTTATACAAAAAGTCTAGGCTAAAGAAATTAAATTTCAATCAAGCTCATTTTGAAAGAATTATACATACAGCACTGTTGTATTTGTAGCAAACCACAATGCTCACAAACCTTCCAACATTTTCTGCCTCTGAGCAGATATAATGCCAAGTGACACTCCCAAACTGCTCCACCTGGAGAGATTTCTTTTCAGTGGAAAATGAGGGAGGGCAAGAGGGGAGCAGAAAAAATCTTCCAAGTTCAAGATTTTGGTATTTCAATGGTAGCAACAGACATAAAAGAAAGCTGTAATCTAAAGTTGTTCTAAGTGGGCATATGAGAAGATAGAAAAAAGGGAAAGAATACGCTGACGGACAAAGAAGACAGTATTGCTCAGGAACTGAGCTCAGGAAATTAAGAAATTCTTTCATTGCACTCTGTAGCTGTTCTACTGTCTGGTTCTGTAGAACATCTTCTAGCATCACAGGAGAGAGACCAGCATTGTGATGGTGCCTTCAGGTTTCATGCAGCACTGGAAGTTAAAGCCATGTTTAAAGTGCTAAGGCATGCTAAAATGATGCCAGCTGTGTTCCTGTGATCCTGCCAAGCTGATTAAGACGCTCTCCATACTGGAGATGTCTCGTATTCACAGCTCTGAGAAGCTTGCCAGGAATGCTAGCTCTTACTCTTTGTGTAGATAAGGTAAACTGCCATAAACCTCTGCTTCCTGGAAAAAAAAAGTACTTTTTAACTGAAAACAGCAGCCTTGCTGGCTGATGTCAAAGGATTACACCTGCTCAGCTGTCCCAGCATGAAAAAAGGGCCATTTCCCAGTATTGTTAAAGCACAAGCTATAAAATACTCTTCAGTATCAATCTATACAGGAAGACAAGCAATTTTCTCCATCCAACTGAACTGTCTCCAGATATGGAATTCCCATTTTAACATGGTTTGGGACTGCTGTCACAGTAGTTCTGTAACCACCAAAAACCACACTGAAAATCCCTAACAAGTTTTAATAGTTTCAGCTTCTTTTGTACAGTTACAGAACTTTTCCATTTTTATTTCCTTCCTTTCTAAGTCAACTATTTAACACATAGTTGAGTAACTAAAGTGACTCTGCTACTTTCCATATTTCCTGAAATAGGCAGAAAATTTGCAACACTAGATATGCTATTGAACAGTGGACAGCATTATTTTGGGCATTTTCTTCTTAAAGAGGCATCATTCTTCCATCACTGCACACAGAGCTATGGCTGCAAACATCCATTAGTAATAACAGAGTATAGAGGTGAATTTCTTGTGTTTCATAATGGAAAAGACTCTCTGAGTGGCCTATTTCAGTAAGTCAGTGATAAAAAAATAATAAAAACACAGTATACACTGGATACCTTAGGTAAATGGGCTGAAGCACAGAATGTACAAGGAGAGTCTCAGAAAAATGGCTTTGTTCAACCTGAAGAAGAGAAAACTCATTGCTATCTACAAATACCTAATGTAAGGGTTCAGACAAGCCAGAGGCAGAGCCAAGCTCTTCTCAGAACTAAAATGTTGAAGGACAAAAGCCAAAAGGCACAGGCTGGAATTCTGACTTGATACAAAAAAAAAAAAAAATTAACAGAAGAGTGGTGAAGGATTGGGAACATGCTGACCTGAGCGTTTGTAGCATTTCTATCCTTCCAAATGCTCAAAGCTGAACTGGACCCAGCCATAACCAACTTGCTGTAACTGGCCTGACTCTGAGCAGCAGCTGATCTCTAAAGGTCCCTTTCAGCCTGCAGGGTTCCATGAGTCTATGTTCTTTGAGCACAAAGAACAAAAATGTATGCATATTTAACCTGGTTGTTCTGGCCACATATGGGAGTTCTGTAATTTTATTTTTAAAATAGTAATTCTGACAGCACCTCACACAGTTCAACAGATGCTGTCAAATAAGATTAATTACAAGGCCCTTTTGAAATATTATGTAAGTACATAGCTGTAGCTCATTGCCAAAATTGTATTTGAAAATACAAGTCATTTCAGAAAGAAGAAGCTGAAACTTGAACCCTGCAGTGCCATTCATGAGAAGTCAATTACAAAGTTTTGGATTACAAAAAGAGAGACATAGCAACAATTTCATCTGTACAGGTAAGATGCACTTTAAATTATTAAGATGCCAGTGACAATATAATAACATTTAACAATGAGAAATTATTTTTTCATCTCAGAGCTCCAGGTGCTGCAGCCTGCCTGTACTTGCAGTGACAGTTCAGAAAGTTTTCTGGATGTTTGCCATGAACGTCTTGAGACATTTTGCCATGCCAGCAGTTACATCTGCTGGTTAAGGACAGAAATTGGTCTCTTAATATGCTTGTTTTCAATTGCAACTGACCTATTGTGGTAGGACCTGCTGAGAAACTACATGTATTTGCTTCTTTAGAACTTTGTATGGTGACAGAAACCTCTGTGAAAGAGTAGAATGGACTGTCAGGAGTAGTAATCACTATGCCTTCAAATATTTCATTTGCCAGGGTTTTTAGTACAACTGTAAAAGGTCAAAAGGATTTCCAATATTTCATTTGCCAGGGTTTTTAGTACAACTGTAACCGAAAAGTCAAAGGATTTCCCAGAATTTTTGTGTGCAAACTACTCAACACTCAACCCTCCACCTGCTACCCCTAGCCCACAAAAGAACCCAAACAGAAATGGTAGAAACAATAATAAAAAGCCATAAAAAACCAGGAAAAGGTGGATTAAAAGTACTATTCAAAGAGACATTACATCATGAATGCTTGGGGAAAATTACAATAAGAAATCAACTGTTTCTGCTACTGGAGCTGGTGGGTTCCTTACTAAATGAAAGGCTGCCATTGATTAAATAAGAGCAGGGTATGAATAAACACAGTTCTCTCTGACACAACCCTACAGTCTGCAAAGAAGATGCAACATGTGCTAAAGGCACTCTGAATTGATGTAAGAATATTCCATGGTTAATCTGAACCAAGAGAGTCATTGTGAAAATCTGCAATGAATATATGAGATTTTATTTTGGATAGGTAAAAACCATGAGGTACTTGAAATTCAAACCATGTCTCTCAACTATATGGGGTGTGATGATGTAGGAGACAGTTTCTATTCCTTAAATAGAATGGGTTCAGTAAAAGTGTAGTATTCCTCCAATTCCCAGGATAGGTAAGCAGGCCTATCTTTTTCTGTCTTTCATGTATGAAAATAAGCCAGAATTTGTCCCTAAAAAGCAACTCTCAAAAGAATTTAAGAGGATATTGCCAGTCACATCCAGTTAGTAATGAATTTTGGGCAATTATTTAAACAAGCCTTACATCACACAGCAGATTTCATGAATTAATTTTATCACTACATTTGAATTTACAGATTACAAAATTTAAATAATTAAATAATCAAAACTGTATATAGTTTTGTTTTTACTACAATAATTGTTTGTCTTAATACATACTTTTTAATATCCCTCAAAAGAAACCAAACAACCCTCAAATGAAAACACACTTTCCCATGTCACACAACTTGATTGGTTAAGGCCATGGTAATTAAGAAACAGGCATCCTTCTACATGAAGCTGGTGTGTCAGTCAGATAAGATTAATGCGGATTTTTAGTGCCAGTTATTTAATGACTTACAAGCTGTTACATTAAAGAATGCTGAAGCAGTATTATCACACTGATGGTTCCTCAAACATGCTCACACACTGTGGCGTTATAAACTTGGGAAAAAACCTGCTGTGAACTTAAGAGTGATCGCAGATCTATTTCTGTAATCGTCAGCTTTTTGTGTTGGAAGTCTCCGTGGCATAAATGAAAGCACTTCCTCGTGAATGCTGCTGCAAACTCAAAACTAGAACACGAATACACCCACGCCCTGATATGCAGCACATTGGCTTCCTGAGGTAAGGCGTGACCAAAATCCATGCCAAAATTTGTTGTTACTAAGCTGCCAAGGTAAAGAGGCACCCCCTAACTAATTATATGAGGGAGAACAATGTTTAATCTTCCTGTGGTTGCAAATAATCATTCTGAGTCTCTCTGTCTACAGACAGAAGATACTTGTAAAAACAGCAAGCATGCTGAGGACACGGTGATGCAGCTACACATGGCCTTAGGTCATTTAGAAATTGGAGCAAAGAAACAGTCTGAGACTTTTGCCATACTGAACAGAGGAAATAGCACACCTCCCTCACTTTTCTGGACATCCCATTTATTTGAAATACTTTTTCTTCCTTACACACTATACCTGATATTGTAGGTGTGACTGGAGATGGGTGTTCCAGACACACAAGCAATTGTCATCATTCATTCAGGAAGCTGCCTGTGCTCAGTTCATGTGCAGATTCTGGACAAACCCTTCACCAACTCCAAACAGTGAGGAGACTCCATACAGATCTGATTCACAAAGAGTGACTGCAGTGACTCTGGCACAGGGAAGACTATTATTCAGCCAGCTTTCTCTGTAAGACTGTGTGCCAAAACCACTATCTAATTGCTCTAGAATTGTTGTCATCATTTCTTCATTACCTTTCTCTCGTGGAGTTTTGAGACTACATGATAATAGCTGGTATACAGTCCAGCTGTTTTGGAAGAAATGGATCTTTGTAGCAAACTATTCCTTATGAAACAGCATAAATGTGCTGTTTAATAGTAAGAGAATAAGTTTTGGAATGACCGTCCTCTATTCCTAGCTTTCCCTGTCACATCCAACTTTTATCTCTCTCCATTTTCACACTGAGAAACCATGAAGTCTAATTTTACAAGCTGTTGAATGATATTAAATAATTTCTTATGTCAAAATCACAAGAAGACACAACAAATTATCTTGCTTGGAAATTGAAGCTTCAGAAATTAGTACTAGATGCTAAGCACAGAATTAGAATATTGTGAGAAAGGGTGCAGTTTTCAGAGGCACAATGACCTGATATAATGACCACTAAAATAGGGAGTTTCCCCTTTTCACAAACTACTCACTGTACTCCCCTTCACTCACTGCCCCATGTTTCCATCTCTTACCTTGTGTCAGAGCAAGAGCATCTTGGACTCCTCTGTCACCTGCTTTTAACTAAATTAAACAGTGCATAAGTGCATGGTATAGTAACCCCATGAGGAAACAAGTGAGTGTCAGAGCCAGTACAAAGGCAAGGAAGGGATCAGACATACAGGAAGAGTGGAGCAAGCAACCTCTTCCACAGTGGTACCAAACCACTAGACATACAAAACTCCACAACTGGCCTTCAGAGTAACTATGGAAGCAGTGAAAGTTGTGGTGGACTCTATGTCTAAAACTTTCATGACATAAGAAGATCTTCTTAAGCTCAGTAAACTTTCTGATACAAAGTAAAATTAATTTTGGGAAGCACTACAGACAGCTCCCCATGTGAGGTCAGACTAGATTATGTTCCTTTAAATATTTATTCATACAAGGTTTAAGTGCAACTTCAACACATACATGCAGCACAGACTTTTGCAACATTCAGACTGATGTTATGAGCAGAAAAGTGATGGCAGCTAACCCACTTTATGCGACTCAGGAAATACTGTGAGTATCTCAGCAGCTCATCAATGCTGTATAATAGACACGAAGGTGAAGCCAAGCTGCATGGAGGTGCATTTCAACTAAGTTCTGGTAATTTCTCTGAGAGTTCGTATTGCTCGTGATCTCTAAGAAGGCAGTGAACAGTGTCTGAACATGCATGTTGGACACAGCCAGATCTACAGACAAAGGACATAGTAAGTACTTACTGAAATAAAGATGTTAAGCAGGTTTTCCAGTGTTGGGAGCTGTGGAATCAGTTTCTGTACCACTTTGCTAAATGCTTCAAATATAGAATGATCATATATGCTTGTCAGATAAAAGCTGGAAAAAAATGTCACCACATTTTCCTTTTAGCCACATACTGTGAACATGATGTACCTTTCACAATATGAGTGAAATAAAATATTGTCAGACAGTAAGTGCCTACACTAATGCAATTACCTCCTGTGATCAAAAGTCATGATATGATTGAAACACAGGACTTATTCTCTATATTAAAAAAAACCCAGCCTAGACAGTGAAACCTAGAACTCAATGTACAACTTTTTAATGCATTCCCACGCTGGTATTCTTACAAAAATATTTATCACATTTCAGGAGAGGAGTATTGCTGAGTATGCCTATTGTGATCTACTTTTTGGACCCATTTATCAGTGCAGTGATGCAGTTGAGTAGTTAAGAGCTCTAAAGAGCTGGCATGTTCATGGAGCAGGCCTCTCTTTTTAATATATTTGTACTTGGCTTTAAAGTGCTAAGAAAGCCATGACAACTTGATGTCCTCTGGTTGCCAGCCCGCGAAGTCCACTCCTTGTCAGCATTTGCTATAGTAACCCATTTTACCAGAAGACACAAGGCAAAGATACAGCACAGGTCTTCCCAAGCAGCTCCAAGCAGGCTGCAGGAGTGAGGATGAGTGACTGGGAGGGGACCATGTGGCAGAGCTTTCAAAGACGGCAAAAGTGATGTGGTTGCATGTACACTCCGTGGCCTGGAACTCTACTGGTTGTTGTCACTGCCCAAGCCAACTTATTTCAAGACAGCAACTGCAGCAAAACCTGATCTGGCATGTTTGTCATCTGTTATTAAGCAGCTCTCCATCTTTCCCTTCAAGACAGCAATCAGAAATAGGATACTTTGGCTCAGGTCAAATGCAGTATCTCTGATTATCCCTTTCCTTCACATATCAAAAGCATGTTGCCTGCTACTTCAAGAGGACAGAAAATGGTAATTGTCCTCTTTAGCATTATCTGCACGGCAACTTTTCTCACCTGAGGTGAATCTTCTCCAAGCCAGCATCTGCAAGGTCATCATTTGCCCTCTGGTGAATATCCCTCTGTGTTTCAATCTTATGGTCATCAGATAAACCATCCACTTTATGGATAAAGATTTCAAAGTTGATATCTGGATTCACTTTATAGGCTCTGGTCACAGTAAGATGCAGCCGAGCTAATGCTTCCATATAATCATCCTAATAAAGGAAAAAGAAGAGCCACAACATAGGAAAGCATTTAAAAAAAATAAAATATATATATATTATATTTTATGATACTTAGTTTTAAATAGTACTACAGCTCAACAGCAGCTTGATTTTTTAAATGTTTTATAAGTAGAAGCCTGAACCTACCAATCTCATGCTGTCAGCACGTAGGAATCTAAGCAAGAACCTTGAGATGTTAAAACAAATTAGTTAACTTCCAAACACACTGCAGAGAGAGATTAAAGATAGCCAAGCTGCTCTTCAAGTTTTAATGACTTCTTTTAATGTGTGTTTGTGATGTAGATAATTTATTTGCTTTAGAAAAGCCCGGTGCTTTCCAACCCATTTGGAATAGCTTAAAGCCCTTTTTTTACCTGAGAATCAATAACAAATATCAGTGCTCCAGTGCCTCTGAAAATCATCTCATAATCAAACGTAGGGTCAAAGAAATCAATTTGCCCAGGAAAATCCCATATCTGAAAGTTGACAAAGGAGCTGTTGGAAACATCCTCTCTGCAGATCTTGTTTGTGCTCTCCAAGAAAAGAGTCTCATTCGGCGACATTTTGTGAAAGACAACTTTCTGAATGGAACTCTTTCCACTTCTTCTCAATCCCATGAGCAGGATTCTTGGCTTAACTTCAGTACTGAAGGGATCATTGAAATCCAAAACTGAATAAAATCACACAAGAAGAAAAGGAATATACTATGGCAATATAATTAGTAACTGCCAGATAACATGCATTTGATATTTATTTCAATGAATTTTTATATTAATTTATGCAAATGTTACCAATGTTTAAGCTTAGAGAGCAGTGCTACAGGCATTTTGACTTGAATTATTTGCCCCTTAGGGTATACTATCAGAAAATCTACTTCTCACCTCCAAGACAGAAACTGCAGAAGGTTTGACTGCTCTGTTTGTATGTGAAAAATCTGTTATCTCACATAGACATCTTTAAATATCTAATTTTACTCTAATTGACATTATGCCACATATATTCTCCTTTAAAAGAGTATCATCTGATAACAAACACCCTTTCCAGCAGACAGCTACATCACAATGATGGAAGAACAGAGTAAGACTCTGTTAAGTACCTCTGCATTATCTTTCTACCTGAGAGCTTCCTTTCTCTAAAATCAATTCACCAATAAATAAATTAATAAATGAAATCACACATGCAAGGAGCTACAGGAAGAGTTCAACTCAGCAGGCACACAGTGCTTACAGTACTGAGCTCATGAGGAGTCCTTTCTAAGGTGCTTAGGATTTCACCTGCTGCTCAGCAATTTGTGTTACAATCTGTAAAGGTTTGTTATTCAATAAATAAGATTACAGCATATCATCTGCCTATTTGCAAAACAAAGGCCTGGGAACACACGGGTTTCATTGTGTTACCTATCTCAGTTTGAAAGTGGCACTACTTTTTCTGGTGTTGATGCAGTTATATCAGCATCAAGTAGTTCCAGCAGTAAACAGATACTCTTACATCTGTAAGGACACGAATGTATAGCTATCCATTCTGGTAGGCACAGCAACTCTAGCTTCAGGTCATCTCTAATTAAAACACCTAAATTGCTGCATCTAGTTGGCCGATAACTTTGAAATGTCCTTTGGTGCTGAGGTGAAATGGCACTGCCCTTATATATAAAAAGCTTCAAAACACCTCTGACTCTGCAGTGTCAAACACGCAAGCAGCACCAAAAAATGAGTTGCAGTGCTAAATCCACAGAGTACAACTCAGAGTACACAGAGGTCTGGTTTAAAATACTGATCACACAACAGGCTAAACATACTATGTAGTGATGTTTGGTAGACCTTCCCCTATCCACTGCACCACAAACTATTCAGATCATACTTAGCACATTCATAGCACAACATAATTGCATTTCTTTTTCTTTTTTTCTGCTGGGATAAGTTTTGAATTGCAAAACTTACCTGGTACACATTTATTTACATGCATCATTCTTGAATATGCCCTGCATATGTGGTCAGCTTTACTCCCAAAATATGAAAATCCAAAACAAGAAACCTCAGTAACAATTTGAACCTGCCAATTTATTACACGGTCTTATCAGCCAAAAAAAAATATGGAAAGCTTAAAGGAATTCTTTGCCTAGGAGCATGTTTTGCACCCAGGGGTGGTGACCCCATCTTGCATTTTCTTGTGTGCCTGAAGCCTCATTTACAGCTTTCAGAAACAAAGGAGCACGGTATGTCTGCCAGGAGGGTACAGAACTTTGTCCACATCTGTTTATGCCTCCCAAATTTGAGTGACAGAGAAGCAGGTCTTCTCAAACTGAAGGGATTGCAGTGTTAGCATAAAACATCTCCTGGCACCATCTACTGGCTTGTGAGAGGTTGTGCCACTCAGTGCAGGTCCGTGTCACCAGTGACTGACAGAAGTTTTCAACTCATTATCGGAGGGATCCTGTCCATTTCAAATACAACTGAAAGACCATGGCAGGTACTACCACTTACTGTGTTCTTGTCAATTATCACACATGAGCACTGCCAGGCAGGAACAGGTGCACAAAGGAAACGTTTTCAGGCAGAACAGGGGTAGGTAACTCTGTAAGAATATCATCCAATAAACACAGCAATGGCCACTGCTGCTGATCTACACACAACAAAGTTACGAAGTAAGAAACTGACGTCAACGTGCTCCTCTACTCTTCCCATCAACTTGAACAGAGGTACTACTTCCTGGGAGAAACGTGTCTACAATACTTCACACCTCCAAAAGAATAATAAACATCTGCTCTAAGATGATGTAAAGATATTTAATGTTTTGGGGATATAGTCTTGTCAATAAATGAAACCAAATAAGCAAGATTTAATGGTGTATCCTTCATCTCACTCTGTTTTTTGCCATCAGAAGAGAAAATAATTTATTCAAAGCTTTATGAAGACTTTATAAAAGAATGTAAAGAACATTCTTCAAGTTGAGGCTTTATTGCATGTTTCAAATAAATCCTCCTATTTGCTCTGTATGCAACTGAAATTACTAAGTCTCATCTACCATGGATTTGTACTTTGTGTCCCCTTCCTCTTCCCACCACAATAACACCAACTTCCTCCTGTATGTCTTATGACATCTCCTCCAAATAATAGATATGACATGCTGTGGCTGATCTGGAGCTCAGCACATTTCAGTTGGCTACAGTGTGTTCACCCGTCTGCCAGCTGCTGCCACAGTGAACGCACAAAACTGCTCACTTGTCCCTCTGAGGTCCCTTCATTTAGCTTTCTCCTGTCTTCTGAATGCCAGTTTTCCTCAAACTTGTGGGAACTTAATAACCATTGAGACATCTTTTGTTCAGATTTTGTTGAAGGTGGACAGTTTCCAAGATTCTGACCATTGATGAGACAACCAGAGGACAAGCTACATACCTAACTCCCTTTTCTTTGAGAAACAACCTAAAAAACCACATATACCTGAAGAAATAGTTTAAATAATTTGGGAGTCTTTACATTGCGGTATTAAATTATTCCAGGCTGTTAGATTTTTACTGATTGTAATGCTTAATAGCAGGAAATTGCTTTCTATTAAAGCCATACTAAAAAAAATACAGTTGCAACTGCAAACAGAATTAGCAATGAGAAGAATGGAGACCAGCTCTTCTGCTAGTAAGACTGTTACTTAGCTTTTGAAATCCTGCCAGTTCAAAGACAGGGAAATGTAAGAGTATCATCCAAACCTGATGAGATAGCAAGGCTTCTACAGCACTTCCCTCTCAGAGACAGTTAAGAGATTACCTTATATGTAAAGGAATTGGACGATGCATTGCCTGCCCACATTCCTCTGCAGGAGTACATGACAACTCCTTTTTTAATTTGCCACAGAAATGCCAGTAGATGTATCACTGCAACTTCCCAGACTAGGTTACTGAGTGAGATCATAATATGCCCAAGAGAAACACTAAACTCTTCTCTGTTCTATAACGGGAAAGATAATTTTCCCTATTGTGAGATGCCACACATTTCTTGCTTCATTCACTTTTGCAAAGAGTAAAATGCCAGTCTCTAATGCATATCAACAGCTCCCTTCATGTTTCAACTTTTCTAAACAGCCATGAAGAACAGGAGCCATCCTGGTTAGAGGCCATTTGAAGAATTCACAAATTTAACTCAACAAACCTAAAAGCACTTTCCCCCAGAAAAGCACTCAATTCCTTACAAAACTTCTGTTAACCGCAGCTGTGTCCTTGCCTATGGAGTGCATTTTGCATGCATTGCAACATGCAGAGGAGCACCGAGGAGTTGAGAACCGCACATAGCAGTCCCGACCTGTCTCACCAGTACACAATGAATACTTTAGTATCTCCTTTATGCTATTGGATATATAGAGATAACTAAAACAGTTTTTGAAGCCCATCCTGAATTCCACATCAGTTGCAATTAATTGCCAAAGAAGGTGACTATCCATGCTCTGCGGGCGTATGGGATAGGGATGCCACGTTCTGCACATCCCACCAGCTTTCAAACATCCAAATAAAACATCACAGCTCATCTGTTCAAGTAACATAAAGCCAAAAGGAATTCTTTTGACCATGTTACCATCTGCAACGTAACAAGCCTCTGAGTCTAGTTTTGAACTAATACAGCTAATGATGATTTTTTTCCCCCACTAATTCAGTTATATGAAGTTTTAACCACTTCTGTGTAAAGGAGAGGTAGCAGTCCCAAACTTTCTACTCTTACCTACAAATCCATTATTCCTGTAGCATTTCCAATACTGCTGTGACTGTGGTGTTTGCAACACTTTGGACTGCTGTCAAGACAATGCCCTTACAAAACACTAAACATCTTCAATGCTAACAGATGGCCTGAGACTAAAAAGTTAACAGAAAAAGCTTGTATGCAATGAAGAAGGGTGGTGTTCAGCTACTGTGGGTTCATAGACATTGCAGAAATGCCTGGTGGAAAGGAATTCTTGTGGCTACAGAAAAGACTCAGAAGTGTCTTTTCCAGAAGACCAGGTTCCACGCTGCCACAAGTGCAGCACTATGCAGAAGTATGTTGTAAAGCCACTTCCTTGGACACCCTGCAGAGGTCTTTCCTGCTTCTAAACACTTTTAAATTGCATCTATAAAAAATATGACTAGGCTTTATGTAAATGTAAGTGTTTTGAGGTCTCTGAATATGACCCTAAGTGTAAACAAAGGACAAGAGCCATGGTTTCAGCACTGAAGCTGGAGACACAAACGCAGTATAGGGTGAATGACCAATGTGAAGTTCTGAAATCTTCTGCATACTTCCAAGAAGACATTATGCTTTTGCTTTTAAGTCTGGCTTCTCTCCTCAACAGCCATGCATTGAAGCTGTTCTTCTTATACTGCCCTTTTCATTCTTTCTTTGTAGAAAAGTGGAGGCAGTGACACTGAATTTTGGACTACTTGCTGTACAGAGCCAGGAAGAGAGGACAAAAAAAGGGGTAAGCCCCCTGCCCTGCAGCCCAGTGTAATACAAAACACAGACCCAAATCCCAGCCCCCTCCATTTCAGATGTCTGCCTCTTCCTCTGGAGAATTCAAAATGAAACAGAAAACCAGGGAATCTGGACAGTTAAAATAGATTTTGTTTTAATCCTGTGTAAAATAGTCCCTGCATGGACTGTCTTCTTTTGCTATCCAGGATGTAAAGGCTCCTGTCTGTTAAGTACAATATTCTGTTACTGTAAAGAAGCAACTGCAATTTTTAGCAGCCTAACAAGTTCCTACTCAAAAATATCCAAATGAATTTGTCTGAAGACAGTATATGGCTTACTTCTCTACAGAAAATACTAAGTTAGTGCAGCACTAAAGAATCACATTAAAATGTATTCTCTTTGCATAAAAATGAAGGCAATTCTTTAGCAGGTTCAAGTAAAACTTTATTTAATCTCAGTTATAGCGCTTACAGTCAACATTCCTATAGCTTTTAACCATGAAGGCTTATACTCAAAGCACTGACCTTCCTCCACTCCCCAAAATTACATTAGTCAATGGAGCACCTCTCATGGCAGCCTGGAGGACTGGGCCTTTAAGGAGAAGGGTTCTGCACGCTAATATCGAAGTAGACTTAAAACATGTGGTCTTTTATTATCCTCTCATAAAAAAGCACTTCTTTTTTTATCCTGATACTGACAGTTCTCCAAGATCCTTTGTGAAATATGTCTCAGAAGAATGAATTCAGGCTCTGAATGAACGCAACAGGCTCTGAGCTGGCATTTCCTTTTTCTACTGAATGAGACTGCTTTTCCTGGTAAGCCCGTCCTTCTCAGCATCACCATCCATACTGACACGGACATGCAGTGAGTAAGGCGGCTCCTCACAAGCACAGACAGACGGACATTTAGCAGAGCCTGCCACTGTGGGACTGACACTCGCAGCTGCGGAGCAGCCCCGGACACAGAGCTGCGTGTGGCCGCTGCCTTTTATAGCGTGACACCCAACACCCCACCCCTGGCACACTCGGGTCACATCATCAAGCTGTGGCCTCTAATAACTAATAACTCTCACCCCAGACTTGGAGAATACTGATGAGAAATTTTACACACACACACTTTGCCTGCACTCCCTTTGCCTCCTCCCTCTTTCCCAACGCTTCCTGCTACCTGTCAGCCTTGCCCTGCTCCTTCCTCAGAGCTCCCTGCACCCTCTGACCCACCGAGCACGCTGTCCCCGTCCCGGCCCTTCCCATGGCCACCTCCGCAGCATCCTCGCTCCGCCCGGCCTCCCAGCGCCCACCCCGTCTCCAGCTGGGCCTGCCCTCCCTCTGGACGCCTCGTCTTTCCCCGCACCCCTGCCCCTGGCTCCCCTCGTGCCCCAAACCCCGCGGGGAGCCTCGCCTCCTCCCTGACCCACATCCGCGGGCCGCCAAACCTCACCTCCTGGCGGCGGCCCTGCGTCCCCCGCCACCGTCCCAGCCTCACCCCGGCCCCCGCCACGCCTCACTCGACACCCGCACCCGCTGCCGGCCGCTGCTCCGCAGCCCTCTCCGAGCCCGGAGCTGCCCCTCGGCTCCCCGGGAGCAGCCCCAGCCCCCGCCCCCGCAGCCCCGCGGCCGCCGCCCCGCCGCTCCCCGCCGCCCCCGGTGCCGCTGCGGCCGCCGCGAGCGGCACTCACACGCCTCATCGCCGCCGCTCTCCGCGTCGCCGTCCGAGAAGGACTCGGCCCCGTCGGCGTAGCCCGCCAAGCCCACGATCTCCTCCTCCTCTTCCTCCTCCTCGTCCCCCTCTTCCTCCTCCGGCAGCTTCCTCGGCACCTGGCTCATGCCGGCCGCGCTCCTGGCGGGGCTCCGCGGCCCCTCTGCCTGCGGCAGGCTCGGGGCGCGGGGGGCGCAGGTCCCGCGCTGGGGTCACGGGCCGCCAGGGCCTCCGCGCTCGCCCGGGCCCGCTCCCAAGCCCGGCCGTGCCACTGGCACCCCGGCGCCGGCGGGCATAGCTGGGCGCTGCGAGCTCACCGGCGGGTCCGAGCGGCACCGCCGCTCGCCCCGGCCCTGCTGCCCCGAGAGACGCCCGTGGGAGCGGTGCACAGGCGAGGCGCTGCCCCTGGCGTGCGGGGCGCCGCGGTGGGCGAGCGGGGTGGCCAGGTGTGCGCTGCGAGCTCACCGGCGGGTCCGAGCGGCACCGCCGCTCGCCCCGGCCCTGCTGCCCCGAGAGACGCCCGTGGGAGCGGTGCACAGGCGAGGCGCTGCCCCTGGCGTGCGGGGCGCCGCGGTGGGCGAGCGGGGTGGCCAGGTGTGCCCGGCAGCGGCACCGAGATGGCACCTGGCGCTTCTATTACGAGCATCCCTGCTCAGAACCCTTACAGTCACAGAATCAAATAGGTTGGAGAAGACCTCTGGTATCATCGAGTCCAACCTAGGACTGAACACCACCACGTCAACTACACCGTGGCACTAAGTGCCACGTCCAGTCTTTCCTTAAGCACCCCCGGTGACTCCACCACCTCCCTGGACGGCCCATTCTGAATCTAATCATCGTCTCTGTGAAGAATTTCTGCCTAATGTAGAACCTAAATTTCCCCTGAGGCAGGTGAAGTCTTATGTGCTCTCCTCCTGTAGCTGGTTGCCAGGGAGAAGCGCCTGACCCCTATCTGGCTACAACTCCAGTTTGAGGAGAGTGGTAAGGTTTCCTCAGCCTCCTCTTCTTGATCGTGTCCTGCAACTTCATCCTGCACAAACCCCGACGTGGGCAGGACCAGTGTGTGCTTGGTGCTGCTCAGCTCACCCATCTGCCAAGCACTGCCTGCTGCCCTGCCCCATGCTCCTTCCATGCCGACTGTCATCACATGGGCAAGCCCAAAAAGTTAAGCTCGGCATTGATGGTGGGAGGTAATGTATTTGCAGTATGGGTTAGAGAGATTATTTTAGAAATAATTAACTTGATTAATAAGGAACACTGAGAGACATAGTAGTGAAATCTCTGAAGAAGTTGAGATTTTATGCCCCTCACAGACCAAGGTGCCCTTATCTCCCTGCCATTGCTTCCACCAGGCCTGCTCTGCAAGTACAGAGCTCCTGCCTCTCACCCAGGCTCCTTCTCAGGAGTTTCCAGTGCTGCTCTTCTTATCTTGTACCAGTCTAAGCTCCAGAGTGTGTGTGTTAGTCCCCGGTTGTCATCCCATGCTGCCCACTGTGGTAACTGGCAGCTGAATTCCTGATTCTCCAGCACCAAATTTTCCTTTGCTTCTGTTTCTTCTTTTTCACTTCTTCCTATCCTGTTCTCCCTCCTTGGATTCATTATATTGATTAGACTTCTGTTTGGAGTCTCCACTTTTTTCCTGCAGCTGATTATTTTTCTGACCTCTGTGCTGCATAACAATCTTCTTATCACCAGGCACCCAGGTTGCACTAACCCACTGGAGATAAAGGAGGTACACATCAGTTCAGAGGTGGGAGAAATCCCCCTTGCCTATTAATATACAAATTTATTGAAAGGCCTGCCTTTATTCTCAACTTATCAACCTGCTTGGAAGTTTTGCTTGAACAGATTAACAATGTACTAGAAGATTATGGGAAACCTTTCAAGGTTAAATCCTGTAAAAGGAATTAGGACTTAGGTTTGGAGCAGGATTTTTTTACCACTCGTGTTTTCAGCATTGTGTCTTGGGACAGCTCTGACAGGCATTAGTCTGCTGAAAACTGATGGAAAGAGGAAGAGAGTTTCCAGGTGTGTAATGAAGGACCATCTGTCTCACACACCAGCTGATCACTTCTGTGCACAAAGGGCTGTTAGGTTTCAAGGCTAGCTTTGATAGGGGGTCTTGCCTAGAAATGTCTGTATTAGGTTTCTTCTATACACAGAGTTATGAAACATGACCAATGAGAGAGTGAATAATTTGGATATATTAAAATACAAAATCAGGGTGTAGAAACTCAAAAAAGAGGACTGGTTGCAATGCAGCTCTTCCCACAGCCTTCCCACAACTGACATCAGTGACCTGATCACAGCTTCAGGTTCAAAGCCACATAGACTCCAGGCCCATTGCCAGATAGGTTTTTAGAGTTGGGCTGAAGCATTTCTGCCAATCCCTTGCAGAAATCCTCTGCAATATAATCTGTTGTGGACTCTACGCAAGCCTCAGGACTTGCTCCTCCTCTGTCCCTTTGCCACCAGATTGTTTTCAGTTCCCTTTGCCTTTTTCTTTTCCTTTTATCGGGTCACTTGACTTTGAAGCTGGGTGCACATAATGAAACAGTGCCCAGCCTTCAGTCACAGGACTTGCAGTAAGGGCAGAGGTAAATATGAGGTTGTGTCTTTGCATATATGACATGTACAGTGATAGATGTGACTGGACTTTGTCCACGGAGAGCTGCAGTTATATCCCTTTTATGTGATTCATTTCTCTCCTCACTAGGGAAAAAAAATCCAAAAGAATACAAAACCAACTGTCTGCATTAGAAAAGGTTAATTTTACTTAAACACAGCGAATTGTCCCACTGACATCCACACAATCAGGGAACCTATCTGCACCTAGGTTTGCAGGATCACGATAGGGTTTCATCCTGTTCCTGCTACAGAGTGAAAATTTCCATGAAATTTCATGATGTCACATTGGTGACAGACCCGTGCCAAGAAAAGTTTTTTCTACAATGTGCTAGCATCTTGTTTCTCAGTTGTAATGATCAAATATAAAATAGTTCTGCCAACTTTTACATATATGGAACTTATTTAACATACAGGTTAACTGTTACTCACAAAAATACTTCTATTCCTACATTAGAATTTTGCACAGTATCAAATGAAATAAAATTCACATGAAGTAAGCCTATCCTGAATATGGAAATGAGCAAACAAAATCATAGTGTGAAGAATCACAGTGTGCTTTTATGTGTTTTAGCAACCACACTTTAACTTAAATAATGACACCAGGCTTCAGATTAATGCTGTAGTTTTGACAAAGCCTTGCTGAGATCAGGGAGGCATCAGAATAAATCCAGTCAGTCAGTCAGTCAGTCTTTCCTGGGGAGCACCAAAGGTTTTGATGTGAACCTCTGGTATGACTTGTCACAGAATGATGACTACCATAGTAATTGTTTAGTGGAAAAGGCATAAGTGGAATAATCTGAAAAACATTCAAAAGGATATATTAATGACATAACTAGGAAGTGCCTGTGATACTTCAATGTTTAGTTTGTTTAGGGCATCAGTTCATTTAGGGCATTTTGAAAATGCCTTCAAGCTAGAGAAACAACCTTTGAAAACGATGTGCCTGTGAGATCAAGCATTGTATGAGGAACAGCTGCTCGTTTTCTGTTTTCTCCTTCTTCTCCCAATCCCACTTTTATCATTGTACTCAGCCTACTCATACAAACTCCTTTCTGCTCTGCCGGTGTCTACAGATGGTCCTGTCCAATTTGCTCCCTACCAGTTTGTGAATTACTGACATTCACCCATAATTGCCGACACAAACACATGACTTGGGTGAGCAGAAGGTCCCAGTGATATTGTGATAGCTGGAGGGGAGGGTGAGGCATTAAGCAGGCACAATCACCTTTCAAGGTGTTCCTCTCTGTCCTTTAGTTCAGACTTCAAAGCCTGCTGACTGGCTCCCTGCTGGAGGAAAGGGCATCTGGACTCCCTGAAACTGGGGAAATTTTATTGTGTCCAATTCCAGGCTCCTTGATACAAGAGGGACATGTAGCTGCTGTGGGTCCAGTGGAGGGCAGCAAGGGTGATTGGGAGACTGAAGCATCTCTCTTATGAGGAAAGGCAGAGAGAGCTGAGCCTGGTTGCTGAAGATGTGGCTGAGGGGAGACCTCATTACTGTGTGTAAATATCCAAAGGGAGGTTACCAAGAATATGAAGACACGCTCTTCTTGGTGGTCTCAACATGGACATGAGGCAACGGGCAGAAACTGATGCATGGGAAGTTCCACATAAGGAAGAACTTATTTACTGTGTGGATGACCATGCACAAGAACAGATTTCCCAGAGAGTTTGTGGAAGTTCCCTCACTGGAGGGACAAGAGCTGTGTGGACGCAGTCTTGTTCCACGTGCTTTAGGTTAACCAGGGAGGCTGGACCAGGTGACCACTGTGGTCCCTTCCAACCTGGCCCACTCTGATTCTGTGGTTTTGTAGCGCTTCTGCTCCCACGCAAATTATTATCAGCTTCCATAACTAAGCTACAAAGGAGCTGCGGTCCAGGAGAGGGTCCAGCCCGCGTGGGGCCTTGCTCCGGCCGGAGCCCCGTGTTCCCGGCCGGGGCCCGGGGCTCGTCCCGCGGGCCGCGGGGCGGAGGCGGCGGAGGGGCGGCGGGGCCCGGGCGGGGCGGGGGCGCACAGGTGATGGCGGAGGTGGCCGAGCTGTGGCGGGGCTGCAGCTCGGGACGAGCGCGGCCAAGGCAGTGCCCCGGACCGGAGTCGTGAAAGTGTTCCCGTGTTCCTGCCCCCCACGCCCCCCCCACCCCGGGCAGACGCGGACCCTCTGGGATGCCGCGCAGGTACAGGAGCCTGTGTCGGCGTAGGGGTTCGATTGCAGGTTTGGGGGTGAAAATGAGGAGTCTTAACGCTCTTGTTCCAACTTTTAAGGCCGCGTCTGATGAGAAATGGAAATCTGGCTCAAAGTCATCCTTCCTGTTGTTGACATCACCTGAAAACTCCGCTGGAAATATTTCCACTAGTTTGCTGCAAACATCGCCCCCCCCGAGATCGCAACACCCTGTGAGTACACACGGGCTGCTGGTAGAGCTCTGATTGTGGAAATCCGTGGCTACGGCATGTAATTGTTCTGCAGTGTTCTTTTTATTGCAAGCATTAATAAAGAGCTTATCGTGCCCTGGGGTGTTGTGTGTATTACAGCATAGGCTGTAGACAGTGCTCTGTTTTTTTAAAAAGGCATAACCAGTATCTTCATATTTTTATAATCATATGTGA